TTTAAAAGAAAATTCCCCAACCATCCTTTCCCAGCAAAACCAGGAACAGCCCGTGAATACATCAACCACCCCCAGCATACTAACACTAAAGAATTTTTAGCTATCACCTTACCCTCATTTCCACAATACACCTTAAACACCCCTCACGACGCTAACGAAACACGCAACTTTGTAGATGAATACGTTTTAATGCCCACTCTCTCTTGGACCTCATACTATCATTTCACTAACCCTCTTTGCTTACCTTTATCCAGCACTTCCATCGATATAGAACGAAATAAAGACATGCTATATCGACTAACTACACCACTAACCGCTAGACAATTTACTTACGTTGGATATAAAAAATCACTAAAAAAACACACTGCACCTAGAGCTAATGAATATACACTAGAATACTACGATCACAACATCATCAGAGCTAACCAAGATCAATTCTTAGACGACGATCGCTTCGCTAATCCACAAATCACCGAGAAATTTTTCATCAAGACACCATATGTATTTACACTAAACATCTTCGACCGTAAATATGACCACATTATTTCAGAAGCACTAACAGACACACAAGCATACGAAAGTTTTAAAGAACGCTTCCAAATCTTTTCACTAACCTTTCATTTCCTTGCACCACACGAAAGAGATTTGCACTGCTCACACGATATTATGTTGCGCACTAAACAAACCCATACATACAGTTACTATCGTTTCATCCAAAATCACTTTGACCTACACACCCCCTCTAGACAACCACACCATCGTTTTCAATTCATCAATTCAAAATACACTTCACCATATTTCCTAAATTTCACATATTGTATTACAGACACTAACCTTCATGGTATTCTTCGTAATTACGACCCCATAACCCAAATGTACATCTTCTGTCCCATCATCAAGACCTTCAATGCCGACGAAAACCGACCCTTCCTTATCCCGCACGAGTTTGTACAACCTATAGAAATCCCAATATTAGAATTCATCCACAACACTAAATTTAATCACAAATTATATAACTTAATCCAAAACACACCTTATGAGTTTGCAGTAGGCACTGAAGAACTAACCACTATTAAGGCACTTCAATTGCTTTGGCCACTACTTCAGACTAAAAATATCATCCGCATCTTAGCCAAACTACTAACAACTTCAGAACTAATTCACGACATTTTCCCTCACGGTTTTTTCCCCGACGACTAACAGGTAAGTATGAATTAAATAAATATTACTAACTAATTACAGTATTAAAAACTCACCATTCTTTATTCATGTTTTCTTTAGATTTTTAGCTTTCATCAGACAATCACCTACAAAAACCAAAAAGGACAAATAAAAATCGAAAAATTCATCAAACAATTTTAAAAATTCTATTAATCTCTTACACTTATAAAATTATAAATTTAATAATCAATGCAGTAAATTCATCTATAAAATTTTCCCCCCAAGCAGTAAATCTAGTTATGATGAAAATTTGTATCTTAATATTCCCCCATGACTAGCAGTAAATTTCCAAATTCTATGTAGTAAATTAATTAAATGCAAATGCAGTACTAACCTTTTGATATTTTCATTCATTCGCACAGAAATTCTATCCACACTCGCACAGCTCGCCCACGAAGAATTGTTTAAAATAATGAATTTCAGTTTCAAGTTTTCACACTCAACAACTCTAACATAAAATAACATGTTTCAAACTTTCCTTTAACCCGGTTGGAAAGGAATCATATACTAAACAAAACTAACCAACGCAGCTTACTAAATACCACAAATCATAGAATAACAGCATGACTTAGAAAAGGAAACCAACGGTACCCAAACCGGATTAACCCAGTTTAAAACTGGATAATTTATTCTTTTGAAGACTATTATAAAGTCTTAGAAAGAAATAATAAAACACAAAAAAGTCGAAAGACAAACACATACCACAAACAATTTGATTTTTGGAAAAAGTACATAACCAACAAGACATAAGAAAGACCACAACAAACCCAACATAAAACGTTGTCACATAACAGGACCCCTCACAAAAACCGCATGAAATCATACTTCCACCCCTGGCCTAACCCACCAGGAAGGACGTCCTGAGCATGCTCTATAGCCGGCCTAACCCACCGCGCTACATCCACGCTTTGTGACCACACCTCTATTTTTAATAAGAGCTACTCAAGGGTGAGTAACTCTTCAAAATAACCGAACTAAAACAAAAAGCTTTTGTGAAAACAACTAACTAAAATCATAATTAAAAAATATTAAACTAATAAAAGTTTTATAAAATGTAAAATCACATGATGCAATACATAGATCAGAATACAACACCAAGGACGAACATCAAAAGACAAGACCACCCCACCACACTCGAGAGAGAATGACCAACTACAATCAATATGCCGCTCACAATCACAACTCAAAGGATTTAGAGTACGACTTGACCTCGCAGAAAAGGACTTCATTGAACTAGACCAATGACCACCTCGATGACCCAAGTGTACGTACAGATCCGAGTAACCAGGCATCCCCTCCACGCACAATCTCCACGCCATTCCCAAGCTAGATCAGACACAAAAGAAGTTCTCCCCGAAGAACAGAAAAACCTGACATAGCCAACCATTCTGAAATCAGAATTGATTTTGTTGCAGAGACTCAGTCGTTGTCACAAGAAGAACACAACGTCTTATGTCCCTAACTCCAGCTTCCTGAAACTTCTTTAACAAAGAAGAAGCGGAAGAAAATTATGATGTTCGCCAAATACCAACGTCCATCATCCATCCTCGAATTACAGAAGAACTGTTCTAAAAAACTCTGTAAAACCCGGATGGGTGGAACCTGATCTAAACTACATTTTATGATTGGATAAATTAAATGTTTTACCAATGTAAAGTATTTAATATTAACCAATCACGATCCATCTAACTAACAACCCACTTATTTGTAAGTGCTGAAGTTACTTGTAATTTCAGCACCAGAGAGATTTGAATTTAATTTAGAAATTAGTTGCACTCTCCCGAGTACTTCAGCAGCCGCAATAAACCAGTATACCCTAGATCTATTGAGCCTAGCAGAGACTAGTTAAACACCCTGAGACTAGATAGTATAAGAGTAAGATTAGGATCGGTATTAGACTAAGAAGTTGCACGAATCTATCCGGCCGAAAATAAGATAGCGTGACGAGCAGACGGTGTACCCTATCCGAAATTACTCTATGAGTTATACACTCCAGTCCTAACTCAACATGTGAAAAATTAAAGGAAATTAATGTTAATAGTACATGCCGTTTTGACCTTACCCTATTTTCCTAAAACCTTCCACAAAGGAAAACTAGCAAGACATGGAATCTCGTTTCTTTGTAAATCGTATAAAAAACATCAAGAGTGAATCAGAGAAATTGAATGAAATGAGAGCGCTAGTAATGCTAACCTGGCGAGTGACACGTACTCGTGAATGTACAAATGACGATGTACTTTGTATCAAACTGTCGAAGACTCAGTAATTCTGAGTGTCAATGCTTTAGCAACACAAGACTTAAGATTACACTCTCACCGCGTAAACACTGTCTTGAGAAAAAACTACGGTCTGAGCTTTCGGCTTCACATCGCCAGATTTAGCCATGGCTGGTATATAATTAATGTGAAATGAATGTGAGCTCTAGCACGCAAGCGCGCTAGAGTAAGGCACCACTACTAGAAGTATCATAAAGGCGAATGCGATGAAAGACAACGTATGAAATGATACATTGCATGGATGAAGGAATGTAAGTGGGGTGACATTGTATGGGTGACACAACATAATTGATAATGCAAGATGGGGACATGATAAAGAATGACAATGCGTAAATGATGACATATATATAAACCAATATAAATAGCATACAAACAGGGGTACCTCGGTGCCACACTGTTTGTGTAATATTTTGAGGTTATTATATCCACGGTGGATAATCCACTCTCTGCTGTATATATATACAGTTAATATATTGAATCCATTGGGTATACCCATTAATATATTAATTAATAGGCCTAAAGGAATTAAGCTCAGGGGTTCCTAATAAATAATTGTATGGAAATATATGGCCATACCATATATGGAAATAACGTATTTTTAAGAAATTAAAAACACCATTATTTTTTAAAATTTTTTTGCTATTATTTGAACCATATTTCGGAGAGGGAAAATCGGAAAAAATTGAATGAAATCGGGCTCACCGAGAGACCAGACTTTGACAACTAGCAAGACATTTGAGCAAGACATGTTTCTAATGATCAACAAGCAGTTCTGGGGAGTTCACACTGTCAAGAAGGTCATAGAACAAACAGTGGACTAAGAAAATACTTTTTACTATATGTCAGAAAAGTTTGTTTTCTCGTCATGAATTTGAACCAATTGTTCATGAAATTTTTTTTCTATTATGAAAATTATGGCCTTTATTTATTTTTTCAAAAATATATATGGCTTTATTTATTTTTGAAAATTTTCTAGGACCATAATATTGCCATACCATATTAGGAACCCCTGATTAAGCTTAAAGAGTGCTTAAACGATGTTTTTAACGTCTAGCTTGTAAATTACTATCGTTCTTTCTCTTATCTGTAGGGACGACAAATGCATGCAAGTTGCATAAATACCATCTTTTCTGCGCTATGCGCAAAAACGTACGCAAGTTGCATAAATCCCCCATTTTTTGTAAAAACTCTGCAAAAAACTCCAGTATTCTGCACCAAAAACGATTAATTCTGAATAAAGTTGATTCTACCCGCAACCACTTGTTCCACCATGTAAAATTGAAAGTTTTATGAGACAGCAAACATAGTTCTTTAGCGCAGTAAAGGCTCATTCACTGAGAATGGCTTCTTTTTGTGACCATGAGCTCCAAAAGTGTAATGAAACGGAGGAATTTTGCTAGAAATCAATGAAAATTAAGCAAAAGTTTCATTTATTTTCATTTGTATACGTACGCACATAAACAGGTCGCTTTTATATGCATAAATGGTCGTCCCTACTTACATTTATCTGTGCGAAAACGTGAGTCGTACGCAGTGGTACGTTTCTCTACATGTATATACGCACAATTACATAAGTACTGTGCTTTACGTGATGTTGGCAGCGAATTTGATTGGCCGAAACTAACTATATACAGTTTCACCGAAGCCAACTTTGATTGTGAACAAATAAACGCTTGCGTATATAAACGCTCAGCTCAATGCAAGATTGGTTTTTGTTTCTGACGAATGTACTTAATAGTGTCTGAGCTGCCGAAAGCATTTATTTGCCGAATTTCAAATGAATCAAACACGCATTCCTCGAGAAACAAAATTTGTGTCCCCGGCTGTGAACACTTCAGCTCCCCCGAAGTCCCTCGGACTTTCTGTTCCACTCATCAAAAAACTTCTTCACGAAAATGACCTCGAAACAAAACAATGGAACCTTTATCAGGTACGATCTTCAGGTTTTTTTTCTACTTGGAAACTATGCATTTCACATCAGGGCCTTGCATTAGCCAATTGACAAAACATTGCAATAAAAAATACCAGCAATAATTACATTGCAATATATTTTAATGTGCAATAGTTTATTGCAATTATAATGCAAGTCATTATTTGCCTTTTTAAATAGAAAAATCCCAGTTCTGATTTTCTTTGAAAATTCCTTTGATTGAAATAGTATCCGATATTATGGCATTCAAGAGTCTTTCAAGAAAACGGTTTCTATATATAGAAAGAATATATTCTCAAAAAGTAAAACCTTTGGTCAAAACTTTCTCATACAATTACATTTTTATCGTGATATTGGGCTAAATTGGTGATTAAGACTATCTAATTTGTGAAATAACGGCTGAGCTAAAAGCCCAACGGCTAACCCCCTTGCTCACTTTTTCCAAACCCAATTGATCTTCAGGTAAGCGTATTTTGCAATTTCTTGTCGGTGAAATCAAAGTAATAAGATTTCAGCTGCGTGCTGATCGAGGCACATCAAATAGCAAATGTAGTGGAAAGACGTTTTGTCAGAAAGCGGCAATCAATTACATGTAGGCAGTGATGACAAAAAAAATTTATTGGAAATTTATTGGATGCAATAAGTAAACCAATAAATAAATACAGATTTTAGCGCGATTTAAATCGCGATTGCAATAAATCTTTACAATAAAAATGAGTTAGTTTTTATTGGATTTTTGTTTGAAGGGTGAAAAATCTCAAGTGTTACTGCTTTCTTATAGGTTGCATCAAACTAATCAAACCTAAAGCTTTGCAGAAAGTATGTTTCTCGCAAAAATAATGAAAAATATGGTGGTTGATAAGCTAAAAAAAAGCCTCACCATACGAAATGTGAAAAATTTCAACGAAAGTTTGATTTCTTCCGAATGAATAATTTATTGCATTTTTCCAATAATTTTTTTCTTCAGAACAAAATCATCGAAATCAAGCCGAATATGCAATAAATTGCGAATGAAACAATAAATGAAATATAACCATCCAATAAATCGCGATTATTCCAATAAAATTTATTTATTTGGTCATCACTGCATGTAGGGGAAAAGGGGAATTACAAAACTTTGCCAGAATGATTCATTAAATGCAATTAGTTAGGAAAAGGTCTTTTAGCATGTTCGGCGATCTGAAATACTATCAGTAATGTTTTGCTATATATAGTAGATATCATATTCACTGTTAGTGGATGAAACTGATTTTACTGCCGCAGTTTACTTTACTTTTATCAGCTATATTTTAAGAATACTGTCAAAAAAGGTTGAAATATGTTTAACATATTGTTAATTCCGATATCTTGAAGATATACGGAATGATATCTTAGTTTTTTTCCGAATCGGTTACTTCCGCTAGCTCAAGTCGGCAGTTCCTGTCCCGCTGGGAACCAATTTTTGTGTTCTTCCTAATGGCAACTGTCTTTGTTGTTCAGCACATATATCTATAGGTTTTCACCAAATAATATTTCCGATATCGGAAAATTAACTATTTCCAACTATCGGAAATGACGTTTTTTAATTATTGGTTTTGAAACAAATGTTGTCGAGATCTAAGTTGAATTTTTTCCGATTTTAAAAAACAATTATATTCAGATCAGTTAATTAATTGAAATTGTTGAATATGACCGTTTGCTAGGAGTAAATCTATAGTACAGATTTTTCGTGAAGGAAAATAAAAATTTTCATTTTTTTTACTTTTTCAATGTTGCTTTATAAACTCAGAAATCCCATTTATGTACCCCTAGTCATGTCCTCTTTTGGTCTTTCCCCATTATTTAAAGAAGATAGGGACTTCACTTCGAGTTGGTTGAGCAAAGCCGGCAGCGAACGATCCAGCACTCGAATTACAATATTATTAATTGTTTCTTCGAAGAACCTCGAAGAAGAAGAACGGATTATGTACTTGTCCGAGATTTTTTATTCATTAAAGGATTCATGTATATCCATAAAAACGCGATCCATCGTTATAAGTGTAGTATTGAGAAATACTACACAGACAAAAGACCATTGTCTTAATTGTTTATTTAACGACCCAACTCTAAATTGGAGCGTGCCATTTAAATTAAAGCCTCTTTTCACTAAATCAGATATTGACTGATTTACTCTTATTAGGACTATAAAATCTTGTTTTGAAAATCCACTCCTTTTTAAATACTTGTCCAATTTTTCTCATTTTTTCATGCTCAATATTTTAAAAGGGCGGCGATTATTAATACGTCCCTTTTAACTTAACTTGAAACAAACTGGATAAATATTTAGCAGTCTTGCCAGCTGCACTAAAATTCTCCTTGCTTTGATTTAGCATAGATGCACCTGCAATATGATGCATCAGAGAAAGTAATATGAATTTTTAATCAGACAAACTGAAGGCTGCGGTTTTCTTCAAAGAGGACTAATAAGTTGAAGATATTTGATTTGAAAAAATCAAATAAAAACTAGTTGAAAATTCCCTTATTAGAAAGGGAGAACAAAGGAGCAGGTGAAACCTGAATAATTAAAGATTGAATCAGCCGCCGGTTTATGCTTATGAGCAAAAGGACTGGCCTGAAATCTTCAGTGTTTCATTTTGCTCAGTAAGCAGCAAGTCAGATCTCTTCAGTCAGATCTTTTCAAAATAAATAATTTTTCTTTTCTGCCTTTACAATAAAATTAAAGTAGCCTTTTTTCACAAATAAAATAGAGAATAAATTCTCATTTAAAGTTCGATAAAATTATAAATCGAGATACTCGAGAGACCCACACCTGAGGAAGTCTGGACTACAAGTACCCAAAGGACTACGGCAAAGACGATACTGACGACCAAACCAGAAGTGCTGACTTGGACAAAATCAAGGGCAACCATACATACTAATCAGCCACCGACCTTAGTAAGAAGATAAAATATTGATGAACAAAATAAGATTAGCTCAACCTCCCCTCATAGGTATATTTCTTTAAGCTGTTCGATTCATTTATATAATCTAAAAACCCAGTGCTTTGTATCTAACCAACTATTAATTCATACCTTTTCTAACTATTGTTTCTACTCTACTTTTTGTCAAGACAATTTGACGATCTAAGGTTAGACTTATAATTTAGGATAAAATTACTAAGCATTCAACCAGCAAAGACGGCTTAGTAAAACTGGTGCGACCGCAGCAGAGAACTACTCCTTAAGAAATTCGTTTTCCAACAAACTAGAAACAGCTTTTAAAATTCAAAAAACATATTATTATTAGGATCTGTGAGTATTTGTCAGATTAGTTTTCAACCTCAAAAAGCCAGAGACAAGGGGTATCTTTCGATAGAAACACAATTTCATTGTCTTCTACTTGACAGATATTCCTGGTAGGGTTCTTGCGAAATGCATCCCCTGCGCTAGCAGTCGCCCACGATATTCCTCCATCTATTAGACGGTCTATTAGACGGCTTTCTAACTGACATTAGCTCATGAACTTAACTATTATCTATTATTATAATAATATATAAAATTTCTGAAAGAATCGTTCTCTGCCTAAGTCCGCTAGTAAGATATACCCGTTTTGTCCAGTAATCCACTAAAGTTTTGCCGAAACTTCAGTTTAAAGTTATCATCACTAAAATTAACGAAATTCTGTGTTAAACTAAAGTGCTCAAAAACTTATTAAATATCTTCATTTATTTTTTCGAGGGGGTTAAGTGGTCATATGTGCGATCTAAGAGTACCCTAAATTGTATGATAAATTGAATTCTTCATCACATTATCTCAAACCATCCACGGATGTTGCTATTTATCCTAATCCTTCATCAATTCTCGAGGCTTATCCTCAAGTTTTCTTAAACTCATTTTAATTCTAACCATCTTAACGTAACTTAAACCTAAATCATCCATCAGTAAAGCTACCAATTACTGAAAATAAGGAAGAAAATAACAAAAACCAAAAAGGAAGGAACGGATTTGAGTGTTTTTTGATAAATCATTAGTTTTTTTTGACACAGTTTAAATATACACCTAATTAACAAAAAGATTACGCACTAAAACCAATCTTAAACGTTAACCACATAACACCAAACACCGAGTTTTAGTTTCAGCACAAAAATATCAGGTTTCACAACAAAAACTAAGTTTAAAACACTGACACATCCACTTTATATTGATAAAATAGGTTTCATATGATAGCATAAGCACTAAAAAATTGATTTTTACCAGCCAAAAGTTTTGGTTTCAGTCTAGGTTTCAGTTATAGGTTCAAACGTTTTAGTTAAAATAAATATAGTTTCCGGTCAAAATTTTAAGTTTCTGTAAACGGATTCGGGTAAAACAGCAAAAATTGAACTAGTCAAACCCAAATTTGGATACCATTAGTCAAAAACCTGGTCTTAAATGGTACGTTTTTGTTAGTTTCAGGTTTCAGAACACAAAAATTGAGTTTTTGGTCTCAAAATTGAGCTCCGAACGCCGAATTTTGACTTTCTAAAGAAAACTAACGGTGTTAAAACCCACCAAACCAATTTTAAAATTTGGTTCCTAAGGCTGAAACGTACGTTTCAGAATTGGTGTTTTTGGTTTCAGACCCAAAAATCTTGCTTCCCAAGTAAAATTTTTGTAAAATATTGAAAGATAATAGGAATGCACTAACAAATTTTTGAACTCGAAAAACTTCTAGAAGGTGTTAGTTTGAGCCCTCAAACTTATAGTTTCAGAAAATTAAAATCGTCGTTTTAGGCTAAAATTTTCATCTTTTTGGCAATTTTTTTGCTGGAATAGAAATATATTAGAGAGACCAACCTAAATTTTCAATCTCAAAATTCTAAAACCAAGTGGTCAAACCATAGTTTCAGTTCTAGAAATCATAGTTTCAGCCCCAAAAACTTAGGTTTCCGCAAACAAATTTTTGATTTTGAAGTTACAAACCGGTTCAAAATTCCAATTTACACTAGACCAGCTATCAAAAACCAACTTTTTATTTTCATGCACCGAGTTTGAGAGAGTTTA